GGAGGCTATAAGGGGAATAAAAAAACTTATAATCGGAAGTAATATTTTGTTTGCAGGTAGATGGGCCTCTAACCGGAGGAGCTTATGAGCGAGTGAGCCTTATAAGCGACAGTTTACTGAATTTCATTTCCATTTCCCACCGGATCGAATATAACACAAGGACATTGGGAATGGTGTGCAAAAGCAAATAGGACAGTGATTTTTCGTTCATTCCAGTAAAAGCTAACCCTTTGAGCTCCAATTACGCATATATGCGTAATTAATGGTCGTGCTCTTTGTACCACTTGTGACGTCATCGATTTAAATACCATCAGATATTCTTGATAAGCAGATAGTAGTACTAGGCTAGGCCTTTCCATACAATGGCCAGGTTTAGATATCGACGACATTCCGACGCCGCAAATCGAAAAACAACGTATCAGTTTTGGTGCAAAAACGGTGGTAAAATGGTCTACTACGCCTATGAAAAGAGAAATACTCCACTCTAAAAGGATTCCTTTTCTTATCCAAAAACCTTATGGTACAATAAAACGTTCCATTTGATTTCCCACTTAGACAACCGGTTTTTTTCATACAAATATTAAGGCTCCAGCGTTCATCTGATGAAACTTATAGTCTAAGATTCTAACCAATCAAATCATGTCTCCTGAGCCACTTTTTTCCTCGCGCCAAGGTCCCGCCGGCTAAGAAGGACGGGCTGCGCTTGGTACGAGGGTGAATCATTATTGTTACCAGAGTTACTTCTTTTTTGGTATTCTTGGTATTGGATTGGAACTAGCTTGCAACTGAGACTAATGCGGGGAATCTTTTCAAATGTAAATGACATTTATCACTTTTTAATATTTCCCCGCATGAGCCTCCATTGCAAGCTAGTTCCAGTCCGGTACCGAGAATATGAATATGGCTTATTGGTCGACGGGTCCAAGTGGCTTTGAGCATGCTCATGCGGCCAGCCGTCAAACAAAAGGTACCTGGTACCCACCAAAACTATCGCCGTCAAGTGCAAATTAAAACAACTCGGCTCTATTTTGAAACTCAAGACAATTAATTACGGAAAACGCAGGCTTCATCATTATCATCATCACTGCTTTTTGTGCCAGTAGGCGCACAAGGCCGTAACACGCTGTTTCCACTGTGCCCTATCCCAGACTACCACTCTCACGTTGTTCCGGTCATTCCACCCTGCCTGCCGTCTCTCTTTCTCTGCTGTCCTCCTCCAGGTCTCTCTAGGTCTTCCTACTGCTCTTCTATCTTCTGGTCTCCATCTCAACTCCACCATGCAGTCGCTGAATCTTTCTCCTCGCAGTTTATGTAACATCGTCTTCTTATCTCATTTCTGATTCGGTTGATATGCGTCATTTGTTGTTGCGATCACTCGTGCAGGCCATCTGATCCTTAGAATCCTTCTCAAACATCTAAACTGGGACGCATCTAATTTCTTTTCTTCCCAATTGGTCATCTTCCATGTTTCATACCCATAGAGGAGTATTGGTCTAACTAGGGTCTTGTACAGTTGAACCTTGGTCTTCTTTCCAATTCCTCTTGTGTTCCATAACTTTGTTAGGTTTTGAAAGGCGCCTGTAGCTTTCCGTAGCCTATTCTTTATATCTTCTGTTCCGCGCCCATCTTTCGAGACTTTGGCACCCAAGTAGACAAACTCAGCAACACCTTCCACCTCATCGGCCCTGACTCTAATCTTCTCCAGCCTTACTGTATTCATTCTTAACACTTTGCAATTTTGATGCTTAATTAATTAAGTAGTTTAAGACCTGGGTCAGGAATGTAAAGTAGAATTATGGTTGGGCAGCTATATCTCTTGTTACATTTGTTTTACCAAGCTGAACTTTTCCCTGATTATAAAACTCGACGTCCTGCCTTGCCCTAACATATTATTTTGACCACGTGACATGTCACGTGATCATTTTGTTAAAATTTGGTAAATTGGCGGATTAGTGGCGAATTTCATTCTATTCATGAATAAATGAGCGTTTGCGATGCAAATTTGAATTATCTACCTTGCTACGTTTGGAATGGTCGGAATGATCTCCCTTGATTTCGTTTATAGAAGATATAAATGATCAAAAGTCGAATTTTGTTGAAGAAAAGGACCTTTCACCCTATAAAATTTTTCTGTGAAAAGAGGGACGGTCATTCCAATAGTGAGAGGATGGAAATAATTGACCTGCATCTAAAACGCGTTTTTGCAGGATACTATTACTAAATTAAAAACCACCACCAATTCCTCAAATACTAGCTATTTTCTGCTAAACGTCACGTGACCTGTCAGAAGTACCTATTCTACTTTAAAATGTTCAGGACATCAAAACCTAACTGTGTGCTAAATCTGGTTCCATTTCCATTTAAACCTTCAGAAATATAACTAATGAATTATTTTCACCGGTAAAAGCCTTTGACCCAGGCCTTAAATTACTTGAGTGCGTTTAAACGTAAACCTATTCTGCTTGCCTCGGTAATCAGCCTTTCCGTTTTCTCTTGGGTGTGCTTATATTTGGATACCAGCAGCGCAATGTCATCTGCAAAGTCCAAGTACACTTATGAAGTCCCACCTGATACCAATTCTTCTCCCCTCCGTTGGTTTCCTCGTCACCCAATCCACAATAAGAAGTAACAGAAACCCCAACATGACATAGCCCTGCTTCAGCCCAGATGATATTCTAAACTAGCTTGTCAGTTCGCCTTCATCCACCACTGCGCATTCAAAACCTTCGTACATCGAGCTGATTCTCACTATATTTATGACCTTCTCTGATATACCATACGCTTTCATATTGTTCCATAAGCTACTCCGGTGGACAGAGTCGAACGCCTTTTCGAAATCGATGAAATGTCCATACAGTGGTGCCCTCCATTTACGTGCTGGTTCCAGTATGTTTCTGAGGATAAAAATCTGGTCGGTGGTACCTCGTCCCTGCCTAAATCCGGCCTGTTCTTTCCTAAGTACACTGTCTACTGCATTCTTGACCCTAGTCTGGATCCCGATATCTGATCAGGGTTCTTAGCAGAAGTTTTCACAGGCGTCCAATAAAGCATAACAGGCGAGGTAAATTTAAGCGAAGGGCCAAGCCAACCTAGGGCGGTCGGGGGCATGCTCCCCCGGAAAATTGTAAAATTGTGGGTTGCCAATATTCCATTTCATGCATTTTGGGGGGCAAAGTGTTACGGAAAGTGAGTTGTTTATGATCATAAAGTAGCGCTCTTTCACCTTTTTAAATACTATTTCCTTCTTGAAACGTCTCAATCTGTGAGTCGTTGAATGTGTGCAAATTTTAATGAGGGGAACTGGTGGCTACATTCGATTTTCCAACCGGTAGACTGATTCCGCCGTTCTACTGAGAACACTGTGACTGATGGCAGTTGACATACCAGCAATCTAACCATGCCAAGTGCTTGGAAACTGCCAAGTTACTTAATAGAGTGTCAAATAGCTGTCCACCAAGTCTGTATGGGCATGTGACATTTAGAGGTCCCCCCATTTTGGGCTCTCAGTTATGATTGATCCCCTTTCTGCCATCCTAAAATTCAAATTATCCCCCAAAATCC